CAGATATCAGAAAGGATTAAACACACGCAACTGGAAAACAAAATTTCAGGTTCATTATCCTGTGGAAGCTATTCAAAACATTGAATTCTCAGAGTCCAAAGCTCAACTTCTTGAAGCACAGGTCAGCAGACTTTGTCTGACAAATAATTTCATGGAACGCTCAAACAAGAGTCAGGCTTGGTGTCTCTCTCATGTGCAGTGATAAGCTCATCTCTGTCTGCAGAAAGCTGAATTGAGATGCCTCTTACCACGAAGTTTACTAAATCGTGGATTTTTCCCTCCATCAGACGCTTCTGGGGAAGACAAAGATAAATGCATCAGTAGTCAAGTTTGCAATTATAGTTGGAGTGGTCAACGAAAGATGCCCTCTTACTTGCATAAGCTAGTTTTTCCTGCAGATTTTTTGAATGCATTGAGAACAGTAGCAATGAAAGAAAATGAACTTTATAGTGTTTCTTCCCTACTTGAGGAGGTAAGATCCATCCTCAGTAACATTTCCTGGTTCTTTTCAGTTTTTGAAATGTGAAAGAGGGGATAAAAAATCTGAATCTCCAAATTTGCTTCTGGTAATATTCCTACTACCCAAGTTTCAGTTCTGTGAATACTTGATCACACGAAATATCACGAATCTCTTATTTTAATTAGAGTTTTCTTTTTGCTTCTACAAGAATGTAGATTCATTCGCTTTACTGTTGGGAGCTAGACTTTTAAATGCTTCCATAATCGTGTGTAATGGATATGAACTCGGTGGATTAGCATGCTCTCCGCTGAAATGCTCTTTCTGAATGTAATTGTAAATATTAATGGATCAGTGGAGAGACATGTTAAATGTGTGCAAGTTTTGCTATAAATGAATTAAAAGGTTCCATGGAATTTAAACTGATGAATTTACAAAGAAGTATTAAACTCCCACTTCTGCTCTCCCTTTCGAGCCATCTGGAAACCTAGAAGCTAACACTGCCATGTCTTCTGATTAGAGTAAAAGAGTACAGGTGCTTCATTATTTGTATGTTTTAGTTTTTTCCATTGATTTATTTTTTTGTCTTGTTAATCTTTCTAACCTCTTAAGCAAGAAAAAGCCACTTTATTGGTACAGATCGCCAAATTTATAATTATATTATTAATTATGTTTTAATGTTTTCAAGCTTGTTGGATCTGGAGGAGAGAGGCAGCCAACTGAGACAGAAGTCCAAGCAGCAATATGGGAGGCTTGTGGAGATTCTGGAGCTTTGCAACTTCTTGTTGATCTGATTAACATGAAGTAATCTTCTTCCTAGTACTATCATCCTGCCAGTGGTAGCATAGCACCTAAGTTATTATGGAGTAGATGTTTATATTTAGATCCTGCATATGCTTTTTTAGCCCCTCTCCTACCTCTCCGGCTCTGCTATCCCAAAGAAAACATAGATCATCAGAAAAGAGTCAGCCAAAAGCTGATTATGGTTTATTGTCCTCTTATTAATTACCCTTCTTGAAAATTTTCATGAACTTCAGGAAAAGCATTGTAATGCTCCCTGTAGCCGAAGGTGGAAATAGCTTGTATCTGTTTTCACTTCCTACATTCTGGCCGGTTCACATTTTTCATTTGGATAATAGAAAGGGATATGGATTATGGGCGGGTTGTAAGGTTGGTTGGTTAAGAACCCAGTTTCAGACAGAGAAATTAACAGTCATCTGTACAACAACGGCTTCCAACTTGCATTGAGAAATTTTTGCTGTAAAATCACAAACTTAGCATAGAAACTGTTGCTATTTTCTAGGAACTCGGTCTACTCTATCATCGTCGAATTTTGTAAATTCGTCAAATTTGTGGGGAAAGCGAGACTTTGTCAAGTTTGTGGGGAAAATCAGTCTCAGATACTAAAAGGGTTTCTTATTTTTTGTGTTACTCCTATCTTGATAGTTGACAATCTTGCATTTGTTTACTCTCTAAACTTTGTATGCTCTTAAAGGATGTTGGATCTGGAAGAGGGTTCAGGGACAGAGGAGAATGACACTGAATTACTTGAGAAAGCCTGCACCAGAGAAATTTCAGAAGATTGCAGAAAGTAATGAGTGAAAGCTACTCTCAAACTTATACCTTTAATTGAAGTTTTTATTACTAACCAACCAACATGAAAATTGCATGCATGTTGACGTTACTAAGACCACACTTTCTTGGGTTGTTTACTGCAGATCTGAGACCAATGGCGGCGTCCAGAATCATTTTCTGAGCAGAAATAGGTGGTCCAGCATAATATATCGGCGGGGGCAGAAACAACTCGCTCGTCTGTTCCTGAAGGAAGCAGAGCATGCATTGCACTTGGCATTGACTGAGGAAATCTAGAATATATCTAACCCAAGTTCGTACATTCTGCAAGAGAACTATTTGAGCAAATATTTGGGTAATGATCTTTCTTGTTGATTAGGAAAAGACAAGAGGAGCTTTCAGGTAGCAATTTCTGAATAAATCTAGATGTGTCTACCCAAGTTTGGACATTTCAAGATGGCTATTTTAGCAAAGATTTTGGTAATGATCATTCCTTGTTTTTAAAGAGTATTCGATATGTTAAACCTTGGTAGATAGAGTTACGTGACACCTGTGCTGGTAAGAGCAAGCAGGTGCGCGATAGATTAGTCGAGATGCGCGCGGGTTAGGCTAGACACTATTGTTATATATAGAAAAAAGGATGTACATGGTACCTGCTGGTGAGAGCGAGCAAGTACTCGGTACTCATCACAATTTCTTCTTCATTATTCTAATTTGTAGTTTTTCCTATTACTTGTACGGTTATTTTTAAAACGTGTTTGTGTTTAAATGCTTCTACAATTGTTCGTTTTTGGGTACTGCTAAACTAATACAAAATGCTTTCTGAACTTAAAATATACACTAGTACATCCAGATTTGAAACTGTTCAATACACTATATCTTGGTTTAATTGTTCGTTATCCTGATAATGAGTGCTTCATGATACATTTTTCGCAAGTATGATTGCGAACTGCTGTAGAATATAATTACATTAAGAACGTGATTTTGATACCACAAGAATGGTTAAAAACTAGGAAAGCTCTATAACAGAACCAGTTGAGATAGTAGGGATCATAGGCGAATGGAGCCTATATTCAATGGGTTCAATTGATATAGATATGTATGTAAAAAATTACTAGTAAAATTTTACAATTGAATTATGTTTAGTGATTTTAAAAGTAGAATAAATTTAATGGGAAGAACCTTGAAGATAGAACTCATCAAGTTTATATCCTAAATTTATCTATCTCTGGTGGGGATCAGTCTTCCAGCCCAGCAACATTCCTAAGTGTCCAACCAATACCATAGGCAGCAGCCCCAGCAATAGCTCCGTTGAAAAGGGTGGTGGCCGCGGAAAGAGGACAACTCCGACCAGCAATCTTGGCCTTGGCAATACCTAGTAGTGCAAGTACAACAGCAGATAACACAGAGGCGCCTATGAATTTGTTTGTGTCATTGTTTGTGAATGGGATGAGCACAATGAATGCCAGAAGAGGGACACAAGCAGAGACAATGAAAGCAGCAAATGTGATTAGCCCATTCTTCCATGGTTTCTCACCTTGCTCTTGTGGCAATGATCCTTTCTCAGTTGCCATCTTCTTGTCCACCAGTATGTCCCTATACTTTGCAAATATGTTCACCACCTTGCACCAAGCAAATAGAGGTTGTTAATCGACCGATACAGCAACTAGTATATCATAACAGCACTCAAATGCTTATATTAGAAGCTAAGATAACGCACACTAAATAGTTACAGGAGCATACAGTATTAGCATCAGTAAGATCCATTCCAAGTGCCTGATAGTGTTGGAGTAATCCCTGCTTCTGAGGCTTGTGTTGGTTAATGACATCCCACTCAATGACTGACCTCTTCTTGGGAGCTACATCCCTTTGAGTTCTGCTTGATACATAATCCCCAAACCCCTTTGATATTCCATCAGCCACTAGATTAGCAAAACCCAACACCAAAATATCAACTGCAATAACAAGAAACATGTAGCACCAATCATAATAAGTACACTCGTTTTGCACAAGCCCTGGCTTTCAAACACGGTCACAAATCAATGCACCCTTAGGAGTTAGATGGTTCTAGAGTTTAGGCTAAATAATCCAAATTGAATTCCACAGATACAATAGACCAGGTTGTAAGAAAAGAGTAGTAGAATTGTTAAAGTAAATGGACGTAATAATAACTAAGAATCAAGAAATGGAGAAATTGGGAAGAGAAGTAGGTACCAGAAGAATGATGGGTGGCAGAGATGGAAGAGATGAGGGAGAAAGAAGTGACAATGGCGTCAGGACCTGCATTCATAATGCTCTTCACTACCTCTCCTCCTTTCCATGGCTTTTTCGGTCTCTCTCCCACCACTGGCGTAAATCCACCATCCTTGTTGCTTTCCGCCATTTTCTCAACTGTTTTAACCATCTAGGTCCTATTATTAACCCATATTCTTGTTCAACTGTTTTAATTAGGCTTATTTGTAGTTGATATTTTCATTAAATCAAGTAATTAAAAATTAAATAGAGAAGCTAGACATCCTTTAACTATGTTTACAGGTATGAGTACAAAGAACACATTTATTGATTTTGTCTAAATTTCATCCGATAGTTCTCCCTATACAAATTTTCTAAAGTCTGTGTGTCCTAGGCCTGAAGTACTTTAAAGGGTTTCCACAAAATAACCAATAATATTAAGAAGCTCTGCTACTCCCTAACCCATAACATTAAGAAGCTTTTCTACTCCCTTGTCTCAAATGTTGGTCATTTTGACATATTAAATAACTTCAAAATACTTGAGATTTAAAAGAAAACAACAAATAATTTGTTTACTTCTTATTTTGAATGCACCATTATTGTTTCAATTAGAACATTAAGGTGGAATAAAACTTAACGTAGGCAATTGCTCTAACAATTAAAACTACTAGTCTACTAACTTTTGTTGAGGAAGCGAACAATCAAGACGAATGAAGGATCTATATTACAGATATCGCAATAAGCGGGAATTCTAACTGCTGCAGAGGCCATTTGATTCTTTAGTGCTTTTCCTTTTCAAACTTAAAAGTGCATTAGTTAGACAAGAAAAGTCATTCACTACATCAAGTTAGGACAGTAATATTTCAAGAACATTAAGAGCAGGATTTTGTTGTCACAAGAAAGGTTAAAAACTAGGAAATCACCAAGTGCTCTCACTTTTTGTAACCCTTAGCTTGCTTTTAACAGCAAAACCAGTTTTGCAACATAGTAGTGAGCGATCACTCTTCCAAGCCAGCAACATTCCTAAGAGTCCAACCAATTCCATATGCAGCAGCACCAGCAATGAGTCCATTGAAAAGGGTAATGGCTGCAGAAAGAGCATAATTCTGACCAGCAATCTTGGCCTTAGCTATCCCCAGCAGTGCAAGGGCAACTGCGGAAAACACAATGGCACCTATGAACTTGTGCGTATCATTGTTTGTGAACGGGATGAGCACGATGAATGCCAGAAGTGGAGCACAACCGAACACAATGAAGGCAGCAAATGTGATTAGTCCATTCTTCCATGGTTTTTCAGCTTCATCTGGTGGCAATAATCCTTTCTCAGTTGCCATCTTCTCATCCACCATTATGTCCTGATACTTGGAAAATATGTTCACCACCTTGTACCAACAGCAGAGATTGTTAATTGCGGGCAACTAATATCCTAGCAGCATTAGAAGACTTATCCTATTTTCAGCTTAAAGCTCATTTTACATTCACAAAACAGAATAGCAACTGAAGCAAAATTTGAGTATTGAAGATTTCAACTAACAAGGGCTTGTCTATCTTAGAGTTGCAAACTGAACACCACTACAAGCTCAGTAGTTTCCACCACAAGTTAATTTAAAGCAGTATAATCATTTTCATGGCTAACACCAAGGGTTGGACCAAGCTTTGTTATTTCCACCACAAATAAATGTTAAAGTTAATTACTCTACCTCAAGAAAAGGGGATACGATAAGGAAACTAGAAAGAGACACTGCTAAAGGTGATACGCCACTGTCTACTGATTAAGGATGCATCTATAACTTGATAGTGAATGAGATGAGCATCAGAGTATAGGATAAAATCATACTGTATTAGCATCAGTATCGTTCATTCCAAGTTCCTGATAATGTCGTAGTAATTCCTGCTTCTGAGGCCTGTGTTGGTTAATGACATCCCACTCGGTGACTGTCCTCTCTTTGGCAGCGACATCCTTCTCCGTGCTGCTTGATACATAGTCCCCAAACCCCATAGATATTCCATCAGCCACTAGATTAGCAAAACCCAACACCAAAACATCAACTGCAAGAAAAAACAAACATTTACACAGTAAGCTAGCTGCAATATTCCCCATGAACTGAGACATGCATATGCGCATTTGGGTAACCCCTAAACACCAAAAATGATAAAACATAATATATACAGCTATGCTATCCGAGTCCACAGAAGAAAATACATCCTGTGATTTTCTCCTTCATGGGAGTTGAGGAACTAGGAAAGAGCCAGCTGGAGGAGGGTAAAATTGGTTAGTATATACATTCTATTAGTCAGGTGAATTGATATTTTGAACGCTTGATCATGTTGGATTCGAAGCTTTAACCAATAACCTTGTATACGGGCAAAATCGGGCTCATGGTACACCCCGGTCTCCGATAAAATAAGCCAAGCTCGAGACATGATGATAGGGGAACGAGATCGAGGCAAATGTCTCATCAAGTCAGAATCCGGGGGGACGACGCCCGCCTCGAGAATATCGGGGTCACGGTTCGGATTCGACCTTATCCTTGAACGACTTTGAAGAATATTGTCAGACAATCGGGCACGGCCAACGGAAGGCCGTAATATCCGTGACCATCCGAATATCACGACGGGAATCTCGGCACGTATCGATGAAGAACCGGCACTCAGTTAATCGGAGGATTTTTACCTTTTATAGAGTTGTACCTAAAATAGAATTCTCCTACTATATAAATGGGGTCTGATAATTCATTAAAGTTATTGTAACACGCATACCAGAGCAATATATCGTTATTTTCTCTATCACTAGCCTTTTTCTCTTTTTCATTGGTGCCGGCCGTGGCGAGCCCGGCTCGGGGGCAAATATTTCTATAAGGCTGGAACTATCCTCCTCGTACGGTTTAAATTTATTCTATCTTTGTTTGTTCAATAGTAACTTAATTTATCACTTTGTATCGAATTAATCCTCGTATCTTTAAAACCACTTACAAATTTAATTGTTATCCGATTTTGAGGGTAAACAAACCTAAATACTCAACTAATATCGTCATGGCCGAGTCAATCACACAGGTTGCAAATAAACAGAAGTTTTTGAAAAGCAATTCACAGTTTAAAATGCTAGTGTCTGCACCCCTTGATATCCAAACCTAACCTTTCTCTACATAAATATCCTTGATCAAATATTACAATACAGAGAAGTCTCTATTTTAGCTAAGCAAAGCAAGGTTGCTATGTCAAATACTCAAAATTGATCGCTACTAGTATAGTCCAATACTATCAAAATTGATACTGCTTCGCAAAATCATTATTAATGGAAATAACTTCAATTTCCACCACTAGAAAAAGCTTAAAACAAAGAGTAATTAGTACATGTAATTGAGTTTAAAATCAGGACGTAGGAACATATAGAAACGTTATTAGACAACACGAATGAGAATTGTTTGACCAAAAAGTATAACTTCCGGTTAAACTATTGAATTTATGTAACAAAGGATTAAATCTAGTTAAGGATAATAACTCTAGACACTAATCTTTAAAACGTACAGCAGACGGGACAGATCCAGTAAATGGTTGATGACAATGAGTGCAAAATATTCTTGAAGCATGAACATTAATGGAGATATAACTAACAATAAATGGCAATAAATGATCTTTAAGTAAATAAGGAGAAAGATTGACCCATTAATGAATGGGTTGAACGAATATTTTGCCTACGATGATGAATGACAGATAGGTCCAAGATTCGTATGAACAATCCACTGGAATATGGGGCATGCATATATATGGGGCATGTTTCCTAGGAAACCTAGTAGTACAAATTAGCCGACAAATTAGCCGATACAAGTCTTATCATCAATAGTCAATTTCGACCTCGACCCTTGTTGACATCTCGACTGCGATCCCTATCAACATCTCCCTATCAACATCTCGATTATGGCTCATGTCGGCACCTCAGCCAATGACTTCACTGCATGTATGGGCGAGCTCGAACGACTTTTTCTTTAGTGTCATATTACGCTAAATATGACAAGGACGGATTTTGGCCTATACAAGAATCAAATCTACGACCTTGAAATCAAATGTAATATTTACCAAAATGGAGAAATGGAGTAGAGAGTAAGTACCAGAGGAAAGACGGCCAGCGGAGATGGAAGAAATGAGGGAGAAAGAAGTGACAATGGCATCAAGCCCTGCATATACAATGCTCTTCACTACTTCCCCTTTCCATGGCTCTTTGGGCCTCCCATTCTTCCTTCCTTTCTCCAATTCTCCGTCCTCTGATCTCAACAATGGTGTTTCACCGTTCCTGTTGGTTTCCGCCATTTTCTCTGAACTATTCAATTCTTCTTCCCGTACTGTAGCTGTCAAGTTTTGCATTGTGTATGGACACGTGTTTAGCTGTTATTTAGCGCTGAAAATTTGTCACCCACGGCTGTTTCTACATCCTTCACGTGTCCCTTGCACTTTTTCTAGTCTTTTTGGTATCTCATAAACGGCGTGTGGCGGGCACATGCACTACTGTTTATGTTGGGTTCCGTTAGTCAACTTTAGCCCATTTAACATTACTGGGCTAACGCTTGTTGGCCTGTCTTCTCGATGGTCAATAAGTCAATTAAAATTGTGAAAATAGCATGGAATAGCCCATTTGATAATCGAAAAATAGCTTGCGTTCCCAAAACTATTGAAAAATAGCTACTATTTTACTGAAATATGAATAGTTCCAGTATAATATGTCGGATTATGGAGCTCCTGCGTTGGAACTCCAGCACACGGAAAGTTCCAACGTAATATAATGGATTATGGAGCTCCTGCGTATAAACTTCAGCATATTATGTTGAAACTCCAGCACATTATGAAATTCCAGCATATATGTAAAAAAAATCGAACTCCAGCATATGCTAAATTTCAATTATTTTTGAAATGTGACTATTTTTAAATTACCAGTTATAAATCTGGCTATTACTGATTTTTTTTCCATGAAATTAGTGAGTTCTTCTTCTAAATTCTGTTAAACGAACTAACTTTCTGAAATGGGAAACACTACCTTTTTTTTTTTTTTGCTAATGATATCTTGAAGCCTCGACAAATCTTAAACTAGTGTTTGGTCTTGTGTATAAATCCAGGGATTTTAGTCCAGCCAAAAAATGTGTTCTGCTAGTGTGAGAGAGAGGCTACCTTCGCCACTTGATCCTGTAAATAAACATTCCTAAGTTTTGACCAAAATGAAATTGAAAAAAAGAAAAAGAAAAAAAGAAACACAGTTACCTTGAACTTTTTACTTTTAACAGTATAATTTTCATATAGAAGGATCATTAGTAAAGATTTATTGGTTACTTGTCAACCAGGAGATTCCAAGCCTAAAGAACTTGGCATTACTGCACCCATATATTCATCATCTAAAGTTGGACTAAATGCCCTCAGAGGAAACAAATTACTTCACAAATGTTACCACCTTAGATGAATTGCAACAAAGTAAAAAAGAGCCTAACATTTTGTTGCCATATTACAACTATAACCTAATCAAATAAAATAATAAGACTAAAGCTAGAGCAAACAAGTGCTATTTTGTTTTAGACCAAAGGTCTCTTCTCTTCTTCCTCTTCAGCGCCTATTTGAAATCTGTAATCTTCAGTCTGAGATGGTTTTTCAGTTTGATGAAGAGGAATAGTTTTCTGAGGCCTAGGTAGGGGCTTGTTTTCGGGCAACATCTTCATTATGATACACATAGCCATCAACAGCAATCCGGTACCATGTTGTTCGGTCAAAGGCTTCGTGAATATCATGTAAGAAAGCAATAATGTTACGGCCTTCCTTGCAGTTGTAATCTGATAATTTCAACACAGTTAATAGTCGTACATATTCAAGCAAATTGCGTGTTATAGTTGGAGATGTATACGCGGTCATAATGAGATAATCAAACAATTTCACAAAAGGACAAGTCTAAATAGAAACAAACCATTGTAGTAGTGGCGGCACCAAATATCGCTATGAGGGAAAGGACAGACACTTGACCTACGAAAGTAGCGCAGGCTTCAAACACCAAGACTCCGTAAACATAGGGATGCTGCAGGAAAAAAGAAAACAAGGTAAGCAGGAAACAAGGTTGAAACAAGATGCATGTGTTACTAGTGATGATTACCTGAGCACATGAAGGCCATGCTTTCCTTAGTTCTCCTGTTACAATCATAGCCACTATCAAGATAGGAAAGCCGACAATTGTTGAGCAGTAGAGCATCTCCATCTGTTATAGTTAAAGGTTAAACAATCCAAAAGGTGTGAGTTAGTCACAAGTTTGCCATGAACGATTATTCTCATGATTAAGCATCATATTGAATGCCAAAGCACATGAAATAAACCTGTGTTGTGTTAGGATTCATCTTGAAGATGGCCTCTTGATAATTCCCCACAAAGGAATCCATAATCAAAGCACCAGATATCATTAGCACACCGATAATGCTGAAATTTGGCGAGGTTTGCGCATCAGCCAAGGTGAAAAGAATTAGGCCTACTACCAAGAGTATTGCCGATATATATTCATGGGGTGGATATTTTCGTCGCAGACCCGGTATAAAGGCCCCCATCACCATGACAGGCAAAACCTGGAATATTCGTAAATTGGAACATGAAGCTTGTTAGGCAGCAGACGAATAAACTTCTATCCTGCTAATCAATGAGAAACACAAGCTTGTAATCCACATTAACATTGGTTACCAAGATTATCTTTAATCCACCTTAAAATTGGTTACCAAGATTATCTTTAACCATATTCTGTCATGAACTATCAAGAATGCAAAGTAATTACACTAATTGCAAGAAAATCTTACGTTAGAGAAAAGACTGTTGTCAAGGTGCGCCTCAAGGTATTTAGTAAACCGAAGTTATCATATTAGTTTTTTGTCCTTATTGTTCTTATTGATAAGTTAAACTAAAGAAACATCTTGAAAGTCCTTCGTGATCTGTCATAAAACTGGTCTACCACATTTACCAAATACGGGGATTGCTGGTTGGTATGATTACTTCTACTAATTTCATCTAGGCTCACTTTCGTCTATTTTAATATATTAGAAACAAGCATCATCATCTCTCCGCGAGGAAGAGAGGAATTGACTTAGATATTCACCTTGGCGGATTTGAACATGATTTGCGCTGGATAATTGATGAAAGCCAAAGCCCCTTTGGTTAATCCCTGTGAGCCCATAAGAACAGCAGAGAGCTTAAAATAAGTCCTCCATGAGTTCACCATTTGCTTGGGAGTAAAACCATTGAAGTAAATCAGAGCTACATAAACCCATCCTTGAACAAAGGTAAAGTACCATCCATAGCTGCAATAAGCCAAATACTCACCACATGAGCAAATTAATCTCTTAATACAGACCAAGACAAAAATATTTAATAATGATCCTTAAAAGGGGCATGTCAAACTTACCTGAATTGAAGCCTATTATAGACATATTCCTGTAATGGAACATACAAATTAAGCTAGAATCAGCTTCACCTTTACAAAGGAAAACACTCAAGTGCACTAGTAAAGTCCAAGATGATGTCAATTGATTCCAGGAATAATATGAAGTCAGAAAAGATGTAATAAACTGATAGCTACACTTGCGTAATAAAGAAAAAAGCAAGGGCCCTTGTAGTAGAAATTCAGGCAAAAGTTGGCAAACATCAATTTCTTTTACTAACAGTTTAGATATTACTTCTGCAAAATGGACCACAAAGGGGTCCCAGAAAAAAATTAACATAGTAGAAACATAAGAAAACAACAATTAAGAACTAATGGAGTTCTTATTAATGTTAATGATGATTTGGGCAATCTGCATATTAAATTACAAACTTGGTCCACTCAAGCCTACCTAGTTAGAGACAAATTCCTTATTTAACATATAATACTACTGACAAAACTCAGAATTGTCCTCATTAATTTTAAATTGAAAACACATAAACACTTATAACATGAGATCAAACCCATTTTGAGAAGGAAAAAAGTTAAGCCCAAGTCATAGCATTAAACATGCAAAAAGGAAAAGAAATCAAAACCAAAACTTCAACTACTTTTTTTTTTGGGTGAAATTTCTTGTTGACCAAACACCACATAATAATAGTTGCCAAACAAGAAGAAATATTTATGAAACTTAAGAAATCCATACCCCCAAAACTTCAAATTCCTTGCTTTATTAAATTACTTAGTGACCAAATAACAATGGGCTAAAAAGAAGAAAGATTCATAAGAGTTACCTCACAGACACCATTGACGAGATACCCAAAAAAGAATCCAGAAGAGCACAAGAGGAACTGTTGCCATCTGGGTCGGGTTGAAAGAGAAATACCAAATAGAAACAGAGCTTGTTCTTCATTCTTCATCTTTTTTAATTTCACTTTTTCTGCACACAATTTGTTTCCTTTATTTGAAGGAGGCTCGAAAAAAGGTGTTATTGGACTTGGTTATAAATCAAGTTGGCTGATTCGAAGCTTGCATGTTGACTTTGGATACAGAAAAAAAGACAAGAATTTAAGAATTTAAGGAAAGCGTATCTGTTCCACTACGTTAACAAAAATAAATATAAAAACAACAGTAATCATAGATACGCAGGTGGACTTAAAGAATCAAGAAAATAAAATGAGAAGCAGCTTTGGAGAAAGGAGAGAAGTTAAGAACTCTAAATAGAGAGAGAGAGAGAGAGAGAGAGAGAGAGAGAGAGAGAGAGAGAGAGAGACTTAAGAGTCTACACGGTTTTGAGGTGACACACAGTAAAAGAAGAGAGAAGGAGGAGGAGAAGATTCTGATAATCTTCAATTGCGATTATTTAGACCCTCTTTCTTAAATTGTGTAACTAAATAGTCCTTCCAATTATAGAAATTATAAGGAAAAATCGTCAGAAAAAAGAGAAATTAAATGAGGTTGGAGTCATTATTTTTAGGACCGAAGTTTATTTTTAGCACATAGTAATTACTCTCTCGGTTCACTTTTACTTGGCATTATACTAAAAATAAATTTTCATTTTTACTTATCACTTTACGCATATCAAAAGAAGACAAAAAAAAAATTCTTGTTATACCCACATTATTTATTACTCATTTTAAATTTTTTTCTCAAATCCAATAAAATATGCATCAATTAATATAAGTATCATAATAAATTATGCACTTCATTTATTATTTCTTAAGGGGCGTGAAAAGTCAAAACGTGTCAAGTAAAAGTGAACGAAGGGAGTATTTAAGGAAATAACAGCAGCTAGAAATTAAAAGTTTTTTCATCAGAAAATTAAAGGTGATATTAAGTGAGGTAGTAGTTGTATTTTGTTGGAGCGAAATTTATTTTTAGCACATAGTAATTAATAAGGAATAACAGCAGCTAGATCTTTTACGGCGTTCAAAATTCGTGTAGCTCAATTTTAATTTATAAACTGTTGATCATTAACAGATTCATAGTAATATAAAATAATGGTTTAAATATCAAATCTATATCTATATTATCTATACTATATTAAAAGCACGAATGCCATTAGCGAAATATCGTTCGCCTTTTTTACCCTTAAAAGTAAAATTTATAGGGGATAAAGTAGTCATTTTATTATTTTGCTAATATTTAAACTTTCAAAATCAACTAAACTTTTATATATTTATTTTTTCCGTATTTGAATTATGTAATATACCATATTTATAAAGGAAAAGTAATAAATGCATAACATAGGAAAATCAGGATTTCTAGGTTTACGAGTCTTTTTGTTTGTTCGTAGGAGTCTTAAAACCTCTACGGTTAACTTGTGAAAAGATGTTTTGATTATTTGTATGCTTAACGATGAGGTCTGAGCTTTTCGTTATATTTTTTTCACGTCGTCTTCTTCGTGCGGTTGTTGACGTTAATTTCTTCTTCATGCGATTGTTGTTTTGTTTTTTACTTATGTATTTCAGTGTGAATCTGAATCTTTTTACCTATAGTAAACATGTATTGTGTCGTATTTACTTGAATCAGTCTTTCTATTTTTGTTGCAAATATTCATCTATGATTCGTTTAAATAATTGTGTAGTGTATGAGTCTATATACTGTGGATATGTGGATGATAAAAGAATCATCTTTTTTTGTGCATTAGGGAACTAAAATTCAAAAAAAAATTGTTGAATGGAATTGGCTTGAAGGTATATTACTATGACCCTAATTTCCTCTTTCTTTTTTAAGTAGTATAGTTTCTTAACCAAAAATAAAGTTCTAAATAAATACAACTTATGTGATGACAATTTAGTGCCAAAACAAGTACTCGGATGCTTCAGTTTCATTCATCGCAACTTTCAGGTTATATCTCTTGCCTACCATTCTCATCAATGATATTTTTTACTTTGCAAGTAGATGTCCTGTATGAACCTATATACCCTCGTTCTCATAATTTATAATCCATCATGCGGTTCCTTCTTTTTTTTCGTTTTCTTTTTTCTTTATAGGATCAGTGTGTTTTCATGTATTAATACTAACAATAACTTTCACGTTCGATTTCAATGAGATAATTATATTCGCTGCCTTTTAATTTTGTTATCTGTTTTGTCAATGTAGACTGAACTCTTGGTGTTTTTTTGGACACATGTGATAAAATTTAAAATATTGTTGACCTTTTCTTTATGTAGTTTTTATTTTTGTTTTCGGGCTGATGATTTCGATTCTAAGAGCTTAATGAAAATACTTCGGTATATTACATTGGGCAACTATATTTTCATATATTTAAGTTTAAGGCTTGATTCGGTATGATTGACTTTCATATACCCCATCTTATTCAAATTCTCGAGTTAATTAGATAACAAGCTTATTACATGAAATCGATTAAACTAATTTCTTTTATCACACGGTGTAGGGAAGATTTAGGCCTCCAGCTTATTAGAAATGGAATAAATGCACATAACCATAATTCAACATGTCCACCAAGTTGTGGTAGCTCTTGATTCAACTGAAAGTGTAGTATCGCACGTGTTCGGTTGAAATGTTCTTAAGAATTTTTTTTCTCATTTGTTCCTCGAGGAAGGTTCAATGATTTTACTTACTATTGATTTTCTCCTTTTATTCATTTTATAAGGTTCAATGCCTGAAGTCAGCTATGCAAACCATAATTTCTATGTAATTCTTGTATCGTTTGGCATAACTTTTGGTTCTTTTTCCTTTTCTTTTGATTGTGTTTTTATTTTAAGGGTGAGAGAGAAGAAGCGATGGAATAAAGAAAATAAGGAAGAAGCACATATATGAAAGCAATGATAATATAGGGACTTCTGAATAGTTTACATTAATTATTGATTTAACCATTTTTTAAAATCAGTAAATAGTACTTCATATCATGGATTGTAAAGCGTGAGCTGATTAAATTGAAAATAATAACCGTTATTTAATGGTGAAACAAGCGACTAATGTTTGCTTTTATTTTTACATTGTACAAGTTCTCTATTATATTTTTATGAGATCTTTCTCTTATCTATATTTGAATTATGCATTGATTTATTTTCATGTTTTGAACTCGAGAGGCTTTTATCTGTGACTTAATTTATAATTTTTATACAGGTTGGTTGGACCATTGCAATTCATAATAGAAATTCACTATTATTTTTCTTTCTACGAATATCTTTCTTGCAATTTTAGTATTTTTAATTCATTTCACAGACATATGATTTATCTGTATTCAAGAAAATGGTCCATTTTTTGTATGTATATTCTTAAGATCGTTATAAATATGATATTGCGATATATCTTTTTGTTTGATTTTTTTTGTGAATCTTTATGGTTTAAATGTGGAGTTCTTTTGTTCAATAGGTCATGTAAATTTTTCTCCTTTTAATTTGTTTTCCTTTAATAAGTGTATTTGAATTCCCCCTCCCCCCTTTTTGTGATCATTGAGTTATGTAAATTATTTTTTTTAAATTATAATAGTTATGTATATAGGGTAGCAGATAGAAGAGAGTTGGAGATTGGGAAAAAAGAAAGGGTGGTGGGTGAAGCAGTTGAGAGGTAAAGTTTTTACTTTTTTAGTTGAACTATTCTTTAAAGCCAATATTTAACTTTCCATTTTATGCTATCTTTAGAAAAATGAGTTTTTATGAGTTAACTTCTTTATTTAATTTTATCATGGTTAATTTTATAAATACTTCAGTTTGTGCTCAGATCAATTTTTTTTGCTCTCAACCCCAATCCATATATTTATTCTGCTTGTTTTTCTTTCCCTTAATTTTCTTTTTGACATGATTTAGTGATCGGGGACGATATAAAGTCATTACATAGGATTTGTTTTCTAATCTCATAATCAGTAGTTATATTTTCTAACCCAAATTGTTGCGTATGTCAATTTATTAATATTTATTTCTCCATTTAAATGAATGTTATATTTATCTCGGCATCAATTTATATTACACATAATTTATTTTTACTCTATACATTTTTATTGATAGACGTACAATACACGTGCAACACACGTACACTAAGACTAGTAACCATAAAAGCGTGAACGATAGACATTATCTAGTTTCCTCTCTTTATTGATTAGTGGTCATTAATAGAAAAACTGCATTTTGGTACCTCTATTATGGCAAATTTTGATTTAATCTTTATAGTTATAGATTAAGCATACTTAACCTTTAATATTTAAAATGTACACTTTTGATCTATCCGTTTCTGATTCTGGCAAATTTAATAGATTATTAATTAGAAGATAAATCATGTGACTATTCATGTGTTGTAAAGTTTTCCTTCATACTTTAATTTAATGGTAAAAAGATCATAAAATAGTTTGAATGTACCATTTTTTTTCTTACTTCAAGATACAAAAATTACATATTCTTGTTACTTGAAAGTTTAATGTGCTTAGTTAAAAATGTGACGATAAAATAGATATTAATCATTTATTGAAGGACCATAAGTACAATTATCTCTTAACTAAATAAGGATTAATTAGTTTTCTTTTTTACTTCAATGTCAAACTATCTAAACACACAGAAACTTTAACAGTGGAAGTAAATTGGCTTTAATCTTATAAACATAAATTAACTCCTTAATAAACTATTCCTGGAAATATAAATCAAATTATAGTTTATCTCATGCCTCATCTACCAAGCAAAGTATAAAAATGATCCTTAGTGAATTATTCGGGTTAATTTCACTAAAAGTCATCCAACTTATCATTTATTTCACAAAAGTCACTTATCTATTTTTCATCACTTAAAAGTCACTCAACTTTACCTTTGTAACTTAAAAGTCATTCTAGTTCAAAACCTATAAAATATCCAATAAAAAATATGACATGTTATTATATTTAATTAAAAAATCTAACAATAATGCCACATAAGCTTAAATAGACCATATCTAAGTTAGACTCATTTCTTCTTCAACCCGATTTGACCTATAACCAAAATGGGTTATTAATATTTGAACAATTAACTTGACTAGCACTTTGATTTTGTGGTTAATTTGTAGAAAAAGAAGTCTAAGAAATTTAAGAAAAATTAGGTCTTTTGAATTTATCTTTAAGTTTTGGTTGTACATTTACGGTCAATGACACAATACGTTGTCTCTTTCTTTTGTCCAAACTATCGCTATAGGTTGTCTATTATTGTGGTGTGTATTGACAACTTCTACTATGCAATTTTATTGTGGGTGTTTCTTACTGAGCAATATTTTTGTCTGTTAGTATTGCTTAATAAGTAATATTTTGCCTTTAATGAAATAGTAATTTATGAAAATAGGTTCTTATTAGCTTGTTG